TAAATATATTATATATATACATATATTATATATATAAGTTTTTATATTTTAATGAGAAAATAGAGAAATACTATTTTATAAAGAATATATATTGCCTTAAGTTGATAAATTTGAATTATTACTTTGTCCAATTTCATTAGAGAGCTCTGCTGTTTGAAGTGGTATAGGACCATATTGAAGATAATAATGTTGCTCTGGAAGTGAATACCATGGATCGTGTATATTTTGCGGCGGTAAACCGTTATATGCTGGCTGTTGAGGATGCATATATGGTGGATATACAGACGGATAAGCCGGAGAATATGTTTCTGCACTTGGATAGAAATATGGTAAAAAGGAATGTATATTACTTGCATCAACGACATCAGAATTGGGCATGCAAGTAATACTAGGGAAGCCTCCTTGAGGTAAATAATACGAGCCACCGTATGAATCCATTTCATTTTCACAATATGGTACATTTACATATGGTGGTTGCTGTATATAGGGTAGGTGACAAGAATTTGGCATTCCAGGAGGCACATATACTTGATTTAAAGCAGTATTTATATACGGTACTTGCATATCACCGTTTTGTGAATTTTGAAAATTTGAAGATTCATTAAACGATGAGTTATGTTGATATTGCTTAGAAATATTCTTATGCGAATATATTTGTTCGCAATTATTATTATAATGTTGATCTATAAAAAAGAGCAGTATATTAGTTTATGAAAATTATTAATACAAAGTAACATTACTCCCTTAACAAAATATATCTTTAAATGTACTTCTTTTAAATCGTGGTGCTGTATTATTAGATCGTTGTTTGTCTTTATTGATATTTTCTGTATCTTTAATATTTTCATGGGCAAATAGTGATGTTTTTTTTTCATTGTCCATTTTTTTTAACTTGTCCTTTTGTAAATCAGTCACATTATTTATGCACATATTTATCGTCTTCAGTGCTGGCTGTGGAATAACTATATTGTTCGTATTTTTGTCAGTACTTTCTTTTTGTTCTGTTAATTTTTCATCTTCCAGTATACATGTGTTAATATTTTGTATTTCTTCTATATTTTGAGACGCATCTGTAAAAAAAAATGAAAAATATGTTAATAAAATTATTAAATACACAGTACATATATATATTATGCAAATTATATTGTAAGAAATATATAATACTTGTATTTAATGATGTAACAGGTGGAACAGATATACACCAAGATTCCGGCGGTGCTGATTGACCATTAGGACCATAGTTCCATGCATGATTGATTCGAAAATACTGTAAAATACAATTTATGTGATTATATTTTGATTTCATATAGTATTAAAGTTTTGTAAATATATCTTACCTCTAATCCTAAATTATAGAAAAATTTTAATGTAGCTGGATCTGAAACGAAAAAGACGATTTATATATAAATTTCTATGAAATAATAACTCTTACAAGGAGACTTTACGAAGTAGCCCATTCAGTTGAGAAGAACTTATGTTAGTATTAATATACTAAAACTAGTATATTAATATATTTTTTATCGTCGAACAGTAGTAGTTAGTTCAGTCTTTTAACAACCGATCGAACGGCTTAAGCAATAGCGCTCTTGCCTATTATCCTGGTGTCCAGTGTTTGATATCCCGTGTAAAATATGTGAAAAGTTATATAACTTATAAGTAATAAACAAACAAAAACTTTGTGAAGGCTTTTTTCTCGAGATTGGCTGACTAGTTTACTTTCTTAGTTTAATAAGTTAACATCTCAAAGGTATAATATTAATATATTAAGTCTTATTGATTATTAAGTCAATTGAGTAGACTATTTTGTAAAGTCAACTTGTTAAATTGAAATGCCCACCTGATAATGGTAATTCGCAGCTATTTAAGTCTATACCTTTTTGAGTCGAATTATTGACATTTTGTAATGATTGATTCATTTGATTCGCAGGTATTAATTCACCCGTATAACCAGGCACGTACGGAACAGCAGGATAGGAATTACCATCCGAAGCAACATAATACAATGATGAATTTCCAGTTATAACTTGTGAGTTATCTAAAAAAAAATTCAAGATGTAATTATATAACGAATTTGACTATTTATGATTACCTAATTTATGCAAAAGAATTCGTCCTACATTAAGCCGAATTTAATTATAATAATTTAAATAAAATAACCTTTTTGTTTTTGTCATGAATATATTATTAAAAATTTATTATTATGTAGTTCCTTTTGTAAATAGCAACATACCTTCTCTACTATCTGTTATTGCATTTTCATGAATATCTCCCTGTCCACTAATTGTAGTATAATTTTGTAACTTTCCCAATGTATTTTCTCCAAGTATCTGACCTTGATTGTTCCTACTAACAGAACAGTAACTGATAATATTCTACATAGAATTATTGTACAATCGTAATACGTGCTGATAGTGTAATGTTTACCATTCTTGTTTTTGCCATTGATGCTCTGGAAAGTCTTCTTTTTTTATATTTTCATTGTTACTATCCTTATTATTTGTAATTAACATAACAGATCCAGTATTACTAGATGTTAATAGAGGAGTAGTTACTTTGTTAGTATTAGAAACACAAGTGTTACTGGTACTAATAGAATCTTGTTTATTATCAAGATTTCCTCCAGGATTATTATTATTAGATAAAGAATCAATACAATTTATTTGTTCCTTTGTTTTGTTTGAATTTGAGTTAGAAGACTTTTTATATTTTTGATCTGAACAAAAATTATATATACATTAATATGTAAATCATATATATAGAGAGGAGAAATTAATAGAAGAGAGAAGGAATCTTATTTTAATTATACACCTACTGGAATCAATTAGCTGAACATTCTTTTTACATATTGGTACCCAATTATTTTGCTTATTTTTTCGTAAAGATAATGGTTTAAGGGATGAATATGGTACAGTTCTTTTTTCTCCAAGTTCTTCTATAAATACTATTACTGAACCTTCGTTTTTACTTATTTCTTGAATATGTCCACAAAAGGTTGCAGGATCTTGATTTGATTTTCTTTGTAAAATTTTTGTTTCATTACAACTTTGATTATTTTCTAATGAACTTGCAATATTATTGATTCCATCCAAGTCACTTTTATTAAAGTTCATTTCAATTAAACATTTATCTCCAATTTGAAGCCCATTACTATTATATCTTGTCCAACCAGCATTTTTTATTTCTGTATAACAATGTAAAAATTAATAATTAACGTTTTACAAATTAATGTTCTACAAAATATCTATAGAAAAGAATACACAATGTAAAATTCTTGATTTGTATAGAAAACGAGAAAGGTCACAAAATTTTAGCAATATAACTTAGTTGTAATTGTATAAAACTTCAATTTGATATACTTCTTATACACCATGAATACTTCATTATGCTGCAAATATAAAGGAGAAATAAAATTGAAATATAAATAAAGTTATTATAGTTAGTTATCTTAACGAAATAGTTTACATTTATTACTTGTTTTATTATATCTTCTGTTATAATAAAACTGAAAATATTTCTCAATAAAGTCAACTTCAATTAAAATATAAACTAAAAATTGTTATTGTTCATGTCTTTCATAATTTATTTTTGAAAGTGGTATAAGTCCATTCGTAATTTAAAAAAACCTTTAATTATTTCTCTCTCCTCTTATAATTTTATTAATTATTATTGTATAGTAAAATTTAACAAGTTCATAATTTTAAAAACATTACCCATATTTATTAGTGTTTGCCAATATTTTTCAATTAACTCAAATGCAAATCCTTAAATGTATAAATAAATGGACTTATATCACTTTCAAATATAACAGCTCAATGAAATATTTGCAATAATATAGTACACATAATGTAAACTACATACCTCGTCTAATTTCATGCCATACATCGAAATCTATATTTCGATAAATATTAATATCAAGAGCTTTAGCGACTCTATAAGGGAATGGTGGTATACCTTTTGAGAAAGTATACATATCTCCTACGGTCTCACAGCCATTTTCCATTCTTTTATATATTTCCGCAGATAACTGTCTACAAAGAAATGTATGAGGAAACATGAAGCATATGTTATCAATTAATAAAAATTTTGTAGAAGAACTTACTCTCGCATCTCAAGATTTCCTTTTAAGAAGAATTTATCATGTCTTAGAGAAGAACTTCTATCGTGTAGCATTTTATGAACAGTATTATCCACATTTTTCATATCAAAAACATTTTTATATAGAATTTGGTACATAATAGCTGTAAATAAAGCTTAATGAAAAATAATGTACTAAAATGTAATGATAAAATGGAATGCTACTTACATTGACAAAAACCAGCAGCCATAACAAAATTTTTATTATAAACACTTTCGTACTGTTTTTGTGGTGTATGGCATAAATATATATGATTTGTAAAACCATTATTAGTCACTGATTTACAAATTTGTTTCTGTCCATTAAACAAAATGATATCTTTTTTATAAAGTAAAGATATAGCTTGAATTTCATTCGGACCACCTGATTCTGTGAAACATGCCATTTGTTCGAGATAACTATCAAATGGAATTGTTATGGACTGGAAACAGAATTTAAATAATGGTCAGAAATACTAAGTTAATATTTGTTCAAAAACAAACTTTATAGTTTTACCTCCTCAAACAAGTGTTTTCTTTTTCGCATGAATTCAACGCATTCTTTTCTCACTCTTATATGATAGTATTGTGTTAAATAAACTTGTTCGCTAACAGCTCTGAACAAACAAGTTGGATCCCTAGGAATATGTTTTCGAAAATATCCTTGGCCTTGTAACCATTCATCAACATGTTCTTGCGTCCTTTTTGAAGACTTTCTGGGAGATATTTCCATAATTCTTCAAAAAAATATCATGCAAATATTTCATATTTATAAAAAAGTATACATTCAAGTTTAATTAATCTATTTAATTTGCAGGTATCATGTTTTATTTTGAAAATCTTTTCCTAATATAATTTATGTAAAAATGTTGACAGATTGTATATATACGTCCATTTGATATGACCTTACTTAAGAAGTAGTAAGTGCTATTACAGTAGTTTTTATTTATCGATCAAAAATATACGAAAATCAATAAAAAATATAGAAAATTAATCGAAAATAAAAGAAGATCTACTTTAACAATGAAACGAGATAAATACTGATTGTGAGATATAATTAATACAATAATTAAATCTATTATTTTAGAACAATTGAAGGATAAAGATTGATTACTTACATGGATTATAAATCGTTATTAATATATCGATATTTATAGACCACTGATCAAAGAATAACTTATTATAATTTCCTGGAAATAAAATCCTGGAAAGAATTATTATTATTGTTAATTAAGAAAGAAAATAAGAGATAAGAAAACAGTTTAAAACGGTTTTACTGCACGTGTTCCGATGATAAATTTTTAAACTACTGTTGGTTAAGCGAGATGAAAAAGTTATTGGAAGATCGTTAACCGAATTATTAAATTTTAATACGTGATCTTTACTAGATATAAAATATTATAATTTACTACATATATGTCTCTATCCGTTTTACCTTGTCGAGTAATAAACCGATAAATTACTAGTTAAAAAAAATTCACATAAGAGCTAGAGATTATACATTGATTTCAGTTGACAATTACAAACCTCAAGGACAGGTCCTTTGTTCTGTTTCTATTTGAAGTCGTTTTTGTTTTCTTATTATGCGCGGTAATTTTGAGTTAATAAACAGAACTTTACTTACATTTACTGTATTTAAAATAAGTAGAACTATTTACTCTCGCGTTATTTGATAAAATAAATTCATATTTTTTTTATCCTTTTTTGGTTAATAAAAATTAATATTATTTATTTTTAAAAATTAGTAAATAATTATATTGCGTGTGACAAAATTATGAGAAAATTTTATACAAATGATTTTTATTATTCATCATAATAATTTCATTGGAATGACAATGCGTTACGTACGAAATATTAAAAAAGTACAATAGCCCGTTATATAAAATATGATTTTTACACAAATATAAAGTCAATCGGTGTAGCTCTGCGATATCTATAACGTATGCAATGCCACCAATCTTGCTGCTATAGAAAATAAAGTTTTACTTGCGTGCAGCTTTTTTAGTATAAAAAGTACATCCTTTGACGAGTATCAAAATATTTGGATGATAGCGTATTGAGCCTAAAATCAAGTTAGTTTGACAAAAAATATTAGGACTCGCATCGCCACAATACCTACGGTTTTCTTGATCATAATAGAGAACCATTTATTGCGTCTAGATATCGCCAGAAGGAACGTTTGTGACGGTAGTATAAGTATAATCATGAGATTACATTAACACAGTATTTCGCATTCACATTTTTGTTGGTAATGTATGAATTATTGTTATACAATGTCATGATATAGAAAATGGAAGAAATGACAAATTGCTGCTTTTTCTCTTCTTCATTATTCTGATGACGTTCTTAAGCAGCTATTTTCTCAGCAGCAATCGCTAAAAAACAGAAATATATATATATATATTTTTTTTTGTTTATCTATCTTTTTTACTTTTATATTTCTATTAAAGTTACGCAAACCTTCTTTGGTAGGCAAAGGATTTTTTTCAAGCGTTTCCGCATGCTTGAGTTTCGCTGGATCAAAATTTTCGATTCCAGATATCAACTGTTGCTTTCCCTTTTCTTGTTGAATGGCTATCAACAATAATAACGGAACAAATTATAATTTATATGTAATGGTTTTATTGGATGTAAACGTAATTGTATTTTATGTAATATAATGATAATAATATAATGAGCAGTTAGAAATGATAAAATACTTAGTGGAAGCTTCGGTAATAAGTTTAAATGTATACTCACCATCTTTATCAGGCAACGGATTCTTCTCTTGAGTAGTAGTATGTTTCAAACTAGTTGGATCAAATGTTTCAATGCCAGCAATCAGCGTTTGCTGAGTTTTTTCTGCTGCAACATCTGTAAAAATTGAAAATAAAATTGTAATAATTGATAAAAATATTCAATAATTAGCATTATAATGTTAATAAGCAATTTTTCTTAAGAAGTTTCCTGAAAAAAATGATGGAAATATATAGACATAAACATATATACAAGTATATGCATGAAGATAATCTAGAGACGTGTACATATTAGCGAGTATGAATTCCATGATAAGAATTTCAAAGCATAGCTTGTTTTTACTAAATGATATAATCCCAGTCCAATTGCTTGCCCACATTTTTTATTAAAAAGCGGAATTTTAATTGAGTTTATCACCAAGCTACCCTTAAGCTTTGATGTCAAAATCGATTTTACTGATTATCAAAATAGTGTAGGCAACTTTTTGTTTGCTTGAAGGTTCTACATTCATTTCGATACCTTTGGCATTTGGTAAAATAATCTTCTCCTTTGTATCTGCATGCTTCAATTGATCTTGGTTAAAACTTTCCACACCATGAATCAAATCAGAATGTTGTCGCTCTTGTCGCACGTCTACATATATTATTAAATAACAAATTATCGAAATCTTTCTTTCACGCGTACTTATGAAAATAATGAAATCTTAATCATAAATGAGCAGCCACTTATATGCCAAATCGATAAACTCTACAAAACGAAAAGTAGATAAAGTAATATATATTTTTATATTATTTATTATTGTGTGAATGGTCATTAAATCTAATCAATAAGAAAATTTATTTTAAATATAAAAAGTTGATCAAGTGCTTCGATAATAGAATTTTAATATATTTTAAAAATTGAAGTAATCGCTTTGGTTCAAATATAATTGTAATCTCTTAGAAATTATTCGTATAATCGTAGAAGATAAATAAGAGTTATCAATCAATGAAATCATTTAAAATACCTTCTGCAGATGGCAAGACATTTTTCTCCGCAGTTTCAGCTTTCTTCATACATCCGTGATTGAAGCCTTCTAGCTCGCTTTTTAAATCTAGTGCCACTTTTGGTAAATCTTTTAACGACGGACTTGACATGATGCTGCGTTAAGCTTCTTTAATCTGAAACAATAAAATATATTTAATCAATTAGAAATTTTTCTCCATATTTTATACAATATATAATTACTTAGAAAGTGTTCTATATAGATATTTTATGTACACAATTTTTTGGTTAAAGTCTAGTCGGGAAAAACGAAATCGAATTTGAATTTTCGTTTATTTTCGTTCAGCTGAGCGTAATCAAATGATTATGAAAAACATTAATTTTATTTGACGCTAGTAAAAACAAATGAACGAATCTAGCTGAATTTAAAGAATTTCTTTCTACAGTCATTTTTTTAAAAGTGCATAAATTTTATATATAGAAGATACTTAATAACGCATACGTGTCAGTAAAATTTCTTCATATTATTTTGATAAACATAAAAGAACGCTGAATCAATACTATGGTCGATGCATTAATCGCAGAGATATCGCTCGTGACTTACAATTAAATAAATGATTACAAATCATTTATATAGATCTATCTACGTATGAACTTAATAGAATTACAATCCAGACGTATAAGATTATTCTTATGAGTTTATTACATTTACTAATTCCGTCAAGTTCAATAAAGTAAAACATTTAACGAGTTTATATTAGGAGATCATTGTGGTCAAGCAATGCAAGAATAAATCTACCTTCGTGATTTGTTTTTCCTCTTCAATAAAAACAAAGAGTTATGGTTTGGAATTTGTAATAGCTTATTATAACTTTTAACTAATAAAAACTAAAGTTACGAGAAAAAAACAAAAATTTGTATAGACGAAAATAACTACTTTCGTTGTTTACTACTATGACTCGAATTAAAAAATAAAAATGACGTCAAAAACTAGAAAAATAATTTACGTTTAAGGAAAGTATTAAAATTTGCTAATTTTTATTGATAATTTTCATTATTTGAATTACTAATTATATACCCCTATTATTATAATTTTAGTTTTAATTAGAGATAATATTGTACAGAATAACGTATAAAAATTTTAACGCAATCCGTTCTGTAATTTTTTCTTTTTTTATATATGCAAGTTTAAAAAATTATGTTTCAAGGAAAACACATTCAAAGTTTACGGTACCGTCTTTCTTTAAAATAATCAAAATTTTAGTGTCCAAATTTCTGTATTACATTCTTAAAAATATGTAATATATATATATTTTATAAACTAAATGATTTTTCTCAAATTTTTAATCAGAATAACTCCTTAAATTATAATATATACGTATACGTTTTGTTTTTTAAACTTTATTATAACTTAACAAGACTCTGTTTATATATCCGTGGCTATCAGTACTGATTGTCAGCCTATCATATCGATAGTTATGTCAGAATTACACGTAAAAAAACTAAATCATGAAATTAAATATATGTACATTGTCAAATATTGAATCATAGGATTAAGCAAAATGTTTCGTTTGTATTTTTTTTACTTCTTATTTAATAATAAGTTAGTAAGAGAAGACATACGCTACAAACAGGAAACAGCAGCGGCTTGCTACTTCCTGTTTAGGCTTCCTCTCATCACTTTATTCATTTTATCCTGCATAATTTAAAAATTTCTTTTTCTCCAATGATATTAACTGATTCTCCAACCATATTTTATCGTAAAATTAGAAATAAATTGGTAAATAAATTCACATATAAAATACAATAGTTTTAAATTACGAGATCATATAATGTGTTGCATCCGAACTCACAAACATATACAATACTATGAATTATAACAGTGAATTAAGTAAAATGGACACACACACACACGAAATTTGTTTTATGATTTATTTTAAAATATAAATTATTTTAACCTCAACCGTGTTGTTTAAATGAATATGTATAACTACAGTAAAATTTCATTGGATTATAACATTAACATAACATTTCTTGAGTCATTTCTCTGGAAGTTTGGTTTCATCAAAAATAAAAATAATACCTAGAGATAATAAAAAGAAAAAATCAAAAAATAAATCAAGAGAAGATATAATTAGAAATTTATAAATACTTTTATAAATCACACTGCGTGCAACTTTTGCATTTTTTCTTTTTATTTCATCCATATCTCAGAATATTCTAAAATGCATGACGAATATATTTATCATTCACAGTTAAGAATTTAATATAAAATATAAATTATAAAAAATAAATCATTTTTTTATTTTTTTACTTAATCCATTGTTATAATTACCGGTACACATATGTGCATTCATCAACGGAATATAAGTTACTTAAACGAGTACACGTATTCTTAGTCGGTTACTATGTAAAGTTACTGGAGTGTAGTTTAGAAAAACAAGTTTCTTAAGAGGCTTCGTATCCGTTTAAAATAGAATATTCGTGACAGAACTTCTGAACAAGGCCATGTTGTAAATATCAGGAGTACGAAAGACGATCCTCGAAGACCGAGAAAGAGTTTCGAGGGATATGTTCTCTCGAACGGTGGGTCAGCATCGACAAGACTGTATAGGTCCTTATATGGTAGTCGCTTGTATGCCTCTTATAGACAGAAAGAGAGAGAGAGAGAAAGAGTGAGAGGGGAGAGAAGAGAGAAGAGAGAGGAGAGAGAGAGAGAAGATCAAAGAGAGACAAGAGTACGTTATCATCCTTTAGAATGACTCATAAAAATGATCATGTTTTTAAAAATAAAATAACTAGACTTTAAATAATGCATCAATATTTTATTTTTACATTTATTTCAAAATTTTTAAAAAAGTGAAGTAGATCAATTTGAAAGAATGCAAGATTATTTTTATGATTCATCATATATACAGTTGGTTATACGAACAGTCCAAATATACGTAGGTGTCTCGTGAACGTCATGTGAACGTGTATGTTCTGTATATCAAATATATAGATATGTATATATTTAAAGGTACAATTTACAGTGTATGGAATAACATGGTGCGTATGTGCGGATGGATATATATGCTTGGTTGCACGTAACGGTAAGACGTAGAGAGACAAACGATATCTTGATAGCTTACGGTATACGAATGAATAAAGAAACAAAAGTCAATATTATCCTCGTAAAAAAAAATATAATATTTATATTTAATCAAATAAAAAAATATATTGCAATTTTTCTAATATATCAAATATTATTTTTAAAAACTGTAGATAAAAATAAGTAATTTCGAATGAAAGTTCAAGTAATTTCAGAGTTATTTATAAACTTCAGGCATACATAAGATATTCCATGTAATTTAACTATAGTGAATATTTCCGTTATAATAATAAAATATATTTTTAAAAAGATTATTTTGTATATCATCATATTTTCACCACGTTCGCGCGAACCGTACAATAATTTTTTTCTAAAAGATTTATCAGCGTACGTTACACAGCAAGTTTCTTCGTTTTCTCAACGTTAAATAAATGTCGACAAGATGGTGATATTATTTGATGAAGATCCGGAGAAATCATTCTGCAAGTTCACGCGAATTTTCTCGGTCAAATGCATCTGGCGAGGAAAGGAGAGCGGCAAGTTAATAAGGAAACTAGGTTGCACGGAACGACAATCCATGCCGGTTTGCAGGACGCTCGTTACTTCGGTTGAACGAATGAATCACCCTCATCCTTAAATATGAACGGCCTACTGCGCACTTTACTGAATCTCAACATCTCTTTACTTCCATATTCGACGAATAAAATATGTGAAAATATAAACGACACAATTAAATCTATATCTCCTAGAATTGATTGAAAAAAATAATCTTTGTTTATATAAATATAACTGGTACGCGAAAGCTTTAAAAAAAATCTTTATTATCGTTAAAAATTAAACAGAAAAAAATATGGATACGATCGAATCTATGTCTCGCCAAACTGTTCGAGGAATATTTTAATAAATAATAAATACGTGAAAACTATGGAAATCGTTCGTGTTAATAAATAAGTAGAAAAAAATAGACGCAGCTGATTTTCGTAAAATTGATCGAGAAAAGTTTTTTTTTTTTTTATAAATAATGAGAAGGCTTTTGGAAAAAGTATTCGTTATTAAAAAAAAGACCCAAAAGAAAAATATATTTGAAATCGCAGGTATACATCCAAGCAAATGAAATTGTACAACTAGCAAGCAACCAGTTTACGCGGCAACCAATTAACTTGGGTAATCGCATTTAAGCAGGATTTTTTCAACGTACATCAAGTTATATATGTGTTTATGTGTGAGTACAGCTTATTTCACATTATTTATTCTAATTTCCTTTTTTGAGATTGAAAATATACGTATTCCTTATAATCGACATAATATTTAAAAAAAAAAAAAAAACCATCTATATATAAGGAAAATAAAATAAAAAAAAATAAAAATCATTCTATCTGAACGTTATCTACAAGGTTTGTCGCATTAAGTATTATATCTATATAGTATAAATTCACTAATACATCGTATTGTGGTTGAAGCGACAGGGCGTGGCCACTGTATTTTTATCTTTTTTTTTTTCAAACGAATTATTAAATTAAAAAATAAAAATGAAGTAAATAAATATTGAAATAAAACAAATCGCAAATTCTATATTACAATAAATTATTAAATTTAATGATATATAATATTATTCGATAAAAAACAAAAATATGCAAAACTCTAAGTCCTTCGATGTCATAAATGAATGAAAAAGGGATAATGAAGTGAATTTAGAGTTCGCTTGAAGCGTTCTGTACTTAGGGAAGTACATATACATATGTATATATCTAAATACATACGCGTATCGACCGGTGGGTGAAACATGCACCTACTACACAAATTTTCTCGATGAACACACATACACATTTATGTGTATAAAGAAACCAGAGAAAAAGAGAGAAATATACATATACACACATGCAGGATGTACGTATATACATACATATCTGTAAGAATCGTCGTTGCATATAAAACGAGAGACGAAACGTTAATGTTCTTTCTCTCTTTCGTGCGCGACCGTGACGGCTAACGAACCCTGGAGTGCGCGCACGCGCGCCATATCGAACGGTTCTGCGAAAGCTCAGGTACGTATCTAGCTATGAGAATTTAGCATGATTCATTAACTAAAAACGATATGTATATATATAGACCACATACATATACATATACAAAGATAGATATCTAAATTAAATGTAGTCCTTTTCTTATAACTATCCTAAAGATCATTAAAATAGAATTCAAAGCGCGCTTGGATAGAATTTCGATGTGGGGGAGGAGAGGTGGTGTTCTTTGAGAGGGGGCCAACGACACGATGCAGACGGATTCATCGATTGGCATAGGGTGATTCGAGTGGTGGGGTTCGTCGACTCCATTTCGACATATTTATATATATACACTCCCTCTAGTAAATTTATGTGTATTTGTGTATGTACAGGGTGTCATCAAATCCTTGTTAGATAGAAATATCATCAATTTAATGTGAACTGAAATTTAAATATTTTTTTAAATTTTGGTACTTCATTGAGATTTTTAGACTCTTAAAAATTTATTGATAATTATTGATATATTCTTTGATATTATTAATAATTTAAACAATGTTTCCGTGTAATGAGACACCTTGTATATCTACTCGAGCTCCCTTTTCATGGTCACGGTTACGCAGCGACCTCGAAATATATTCGACTACATTTATCATTCCGTTCCGTTTGACAGTAACTCGAAAGGAATTCATTTAAAATTTAAAAAAAAGGATAATTTCCTATTGTATACAATCGTTACCTTGGTAACAGAATACACCTTTGTAAGCTGAGGAACGTATATAGAATTTAAATTTGGAAAAGAAAAGAAAATAAAAGAAGTTAGTTGATAACTATCAATAGTGGCATGTAATTTAAATACATCACGAAAAAACGAATTAATATGTTTAGTAGGCATTCGTATATGAATCTGTCAAAACCACGCCCTTTCGCAATTGAACGTCTTTGTCCGATAATTCGTAAAAAATATAAATTATAAGAAAAATCGAATGAGACGGATTAAAAACAATTCATGGGAGACAAATTCTAAACATCAATACGAATTTTCTACTTAGAAGTTAGTTTTAAATGATACCGACCACACCCCTCTATTTCTCTTGCTCTTTCTTGCTTTCTTTCAATCTCTCTATGTAAATCTTCGCCCTTTAATCATAAATAATTTAAATAGGTATTTTAGGAAATAATTTCATGTAAAAAAAAAGAAGAATAGAAGCAACAATCGTTATAAGTTAATTACTTTACTCCGGCGTAATAAGCTCAATATACTTTTAAATATGCCGGCTCGAGCCGGTAAAATGTTTAAAGGAGTGTGTTGAGTTGTATACGATTGTAACAATGAATATGAGCAGAAGGGATCACTGACCTGACGTCTTCGATTGTCACTGCTACGACTTGAGACGGCGGAGTAGGAGAATACACGCAAGCCAGACGAAAATGTAAGGACAGGAACTAAACGGCACGCCGACCGATCCGTTAGTGTTTCTGCGTGACGCCACGCAATCAAGTACAGCGGCTGAGGAGAGAAAACTTCCACCACTCCTGCGGGCCCCGTATCCCCATTTCTCTCTTACGAACCAATCAACGACCGTCTACGAATCTCGCTTCTTCGTTCTGCCTACGCTAGTGCTGCTATTGTGGCCAAATCAGTAACTATTAATTATCTTCATTTCATGTAGACACATTTAGATCATTTACATATATCCAAATATTCTTTATTTTACAAAAATAATTGACATTACGATTTTTATTTAATTGTAATACTTTTCTTTTTTTTAACTATTTTTTGTACATATACATTTTATTATTTCTACAAATGTAGATATTATAGTATATTGAAATTACTATATGTAATAATTCAATCTTTAGAAGATATAAACCATATATCGCGATCTTAATTACAATATTAACATTTTATTATTGAAACTCGTTAAAAAATATTACAATTTTCAATGATGAGTAACGATCTAATTTGAATCAGAATATTATCATATTTTACTATGTAATTATTCATATCTACGTATTAATAATATAAAAAATTAATATAAACAAGAAAAATTTTAAATCAAGATATATTTTGTGAAGAACTTGATACTTCAGAATATTATTGTAGTCTCTAAGGGTTAGTATGCACATTCATTACCACTCTTTTTCGCTAGATTTAACTTCTCGTTGCTAAGGGCATGAGAGAACCGTTGTTACTATTTGTGGTATACAGGGGGATTTCAGAAGATGAGGGTTGATGGCTTGAGATGACTCACCGCATCGTCATCGTTCCAGCTGCGCGTCATGTGGCAAACTGTACGGATATCTTGGTTCACAAAAATCTATGTAGATTATACACTACCATGAACAGTGAAATAAATATATAATTCATGAGAATTTACCTAACAATAATTATTGTTAATCGATGAAATTATTGCGTATTATAATTTTAAAAATTTAACCATTACACTAGATTTTTATCTTAATTATATTATTATATTTTATAC